CACGCACACAGCTCATCCATCCATCCATCCATCCATCCATCCATCCATTCATTCATTCATTCATCCATTTATTTCTAGCATGTTTGTCAGCTCAATCACACTGAAACATGCTGCGTTTTGGCTTCACAGCCCATCAGTGTCTTTGTTTTAAGTTTCCTCAGAATAATTAGAAGTATGCCTCACAGAGTTTCTAGTAATAAGGATGGAAAACATCGTATTCAGCGCAGTCGTCCTGAGAGCTACTTTTTTCAAAGCTGATACCAGGAAGAAAACTCACAATTTCTAGTTAATAATTTCTAGTTAATAATCAGTTCAGGAAATATATTTTTCTTCGATTCTAATGATAGTCCAGCATTGACTATAATACTTCACAGAAGTAGTGAAGACAGTAACTAACTTCTCCAGATAGTTACTGGAGAAGTTAGTTGTTCTCTCTAACCAACTGTTGGGTGAATTATGAATTATGCCTCCAGCTCCACCTAAACAATGGTTTGTCATGATTAAAGCACCTGGTATGTGTTGCTCCAAGCTACATCTCTTTAAATGTGATTTTTTTATTTGAATTTATCTCTTTTAGAAGATCATGTTAGGTCTAGTCAATGGGTTGGCATGTGTACGGTGAGTCAGAGAAGTGGAGGGAGAGGGAAGTGCTGCTGGTAAAGTCCTGAAGAAGAGCGGGAGTTAAATGAAGGAGTTAGATGAGTGTGGGGAGAACGTGGTGGGGGGAGCTGACGTGGCTCGAAATACCACAGGATCAAAGTGTTAATGACCACTTTTAAATCATCCATTCAGCAGGTTCTTGGTTTTTACTCGTTCTTGGCCTCAAATCATCAGGAAAAAAACTGGTCGGTGGAAAATGTTCACTGAAACGATGGAAATCTTCTGGAACAGACTCTCATTCATTTTATATGTGCTGATTAAAGACAGCAGTGCTAATGCAAACCTGAAAAAGTTTTCCTTTTTACACCGCTCATATACTTCAGGCATGTGGAATTTAACCACACTGGTTTACATAACATTTATTTCCACTTTGTTGCTTGGAGCTTAAATACTTTTTATGTCTTTTAACGCAGACGAACAAGCACTCTGGAATCTACGGTAAACATAAACAGGAAGCAGATTGTTAGTTTGTTGGCTGTAAAAAACAACCAGTAGGAGAGAGAGAGAAAAAAGAACACAATCACTGACAAAAAACAAAAAACAAACAACTTGCAAAAACACACAGAAAAAGCAAAAGGTTTAAGAAGCGCATGTAGGTGTGGATCGGACCCAGGGCTGCAACCACCAGTCAGGAATTGAATCTCTGACACTGGAACCACTTATTATCACTGCAAGCTTTTCCATGGATCACGATGTACTCGTGTCACCCTGTGTCTGCTCAGCATAGAGGAGTTGACTGCAGGGAATATTGGGAGAAATTTGCTGGTTTCCTTAGACAGAAAGCAACGTGGGCTATTTTTCAATCTGCTGTGACGCAGTTGGCAGCATTAATTCCCTGCAGGAAGAAGGTCTGTGGTTTGAATCCCAGCCTGGGGTCTCTCTGTGTGGACGTTGCATGTTCTTCCCAAGCGTGGGTTCTCTCTGTCTTCATACCACAGTACAAAAATCATGACTGTTAGACGGACAGCTTTTCTGTATCGAAGAATCAGCTCTGTGTCAAGATTATCCATCATATGATATGCAATATTGACTAGAGATGCACCGATCCAAAATAAATACCTGTATTGATCATGATATTGAAAAAAATTCCATGTGCTCAATCCATAATGGCAGATCTATTTAATCCAATTACCTGCTTTGTGCTCTGAGCGACATCATGCTTTATTATTTATTTTACATTATATTTAGACTGTGATGGACTGGTGACCTTTCCAGAGCGACCCCGCCTCTTGCCTGTTGATGCTGGAGATAGACACCAGGACCGACCCCTCATGACCCCACTAAGGGTGTGAGATAATGGATGGATGGATGGATATTATATTTAGAATTCCTAATTGCCCTTTCTGAACCGTTTGACGGGTTTGTTGCAGTTTATTTTAAACATATTTGACCGAAACAAAGCTTAGTGTTTCTGTCAATATGTACAAAACCAGTTGCACTAAACAAATGAAAGTTTTTTTGTTTTGGTGCGAAGTTCCCAAATAATTTTGTTATTCAGTACATTTATGCTTGTTTTAGTTTTATAAAAAAAGAAACATTTTAAGTCAGTAATTTTTTTATTAAAAGTCAGCTCTGGCTTTCCTTATCGGAGCCGTATTGGTTCCGATACACTCGGCTACGCTCAGATATTGGTATCATATTGAAAGTGAAAAAAGTGGATCAGTGCATCCCTAATTTTGACCATTTACTGTGTTGTTCACCAAGGCAGGTCTATTTTATCTCCTCTCATATCTCATCCTGCTAAAAACTGAAGCGGCAGAACAAACACCTATTTTCCATCAACCAACACAACCCAACCCACACACACACACAACCCGACACACACACACACACACACAACCCAACACACACACACAACCCGACACACACACACACACACACACCCCTATTGTCAGATGTCCTCTTCCCAGGCTGTCACCGTGTGTCTGCTCATAGCAGAGGGCCGTTTGTCCGTGTTGTAAACCATCACAGCCTCTCTGTGAGATGGAGAAGGTTCCCATCTATTCCTCAGGGCTGACGACAGGAAGGGATCTTATCTGACCCTCCTGCCCAAGTCTCTGCAGACGTTTCCCCCTGCAGACCCAGCGTGACACAATGGTGCTATATTGAGAGAGCTATAAACAATTGTTTGCTTATCTGTTACTGACCTCATGGCACATGAGAGGGCTGGATTAGTTAGACGCGTGACGCGCTCTGACATTTGAAACCAGACAGAAAGTGGATGGGACGGATATTACCATGGCGACTCGGTGAGAATGAGCCCAATAGTTGCTACATGGGTTTTTCCTGTTTGGTCTCATACATCCAGGTTATTTAGGCATTAAGAGTTGCTTTAGTAGCTGATGTGAGACACTGACGAGATGAAGTCGCCTTTGAAACCTGTCATGATGATCTCAGTCTGTCTTTTCTTTGTTTACTCTTTAATGTCCAACAAACTGTATTTACAGTCTTATCTCCATAATTGGATGTGTTTCCTGTAGGATATCAGGGTGAGGCAGATCAGATTATTGACTGTGTAAACCTGTGGGATCTCACTTCATCAAAGAGCAGCTTGAGTTTTTTATTCTTAGAAATAAACATTTCTGATGCAGCCTCCAGCTTCCCAAAATACTGTTCATTTAAAATGTTTTTGTTGAAGTAAATAGCTTCAGATTTCCTCATTTTAGAGGAAACACTGTGCAGGAGGGTTGGAGTGGTATCAGATTTATTTGTAAAATCTCCAAAGCTAAAAATTCAACACAATTAAAATAAAATTTATGTAATTTTTTTATGCATAAGCAAGATCTAAATGCTACTAGAACAGAATAGAATAGAAATGAAAATAAAAAAACAAAATAAGCATCTATACAGTAAGAGCAAATTTACAACATGAGGAAAAGATACTGCCAAGTTATCAAGACAGCATACTTTGTTTAAAAGAAATGTGCAACTGATAGAGTAAAGAATGTACAAAATGTGTGTGAATATTTGTGCAAAAAAAAAAAAACAGTCTATTTGCTAGAACTTAAATAGAAAACTACAAATAATTACAGGGATATAAACATGTATTTGGTTTGTTGGGAGCAGTGATGGTTTTAAAGTCTAACAGCTGCTGGAAGGAAGGATCTGTGAAAACGCTGCTTTGTGCACACAGGATGTCTGTCACTGAAGCAGCAACAGCATCATGTATGGGAAACGTATAGATAAATGTCAGGAAAGCAACATTTCTAGCTAATGCTAATGTTTGCACAGTGTGGATAATAAGCCATGAATAATTATGGTTTTTGTCTTTGACTAATACTGTATTATTGACTGATATTATACTAGACAATAATGTCTAATGTCTCACCCAGCTCCTCCTGGGTGAAAAATTTTATTATGTAAGAACAAAAATAATAATCAAAGACCTCAGAAAAATCCTCCAGAATAATAATCATGTCGATGGAAATGACTTAGACAAAACAACATGGCGAATGTTAAAACTATGCCTTCCTTGAGGGAGAGTTTGTATTTCTGCTGTTTTTCTTTTTCTTTTTCTTTTTCTTATAAATTTAGGACTTTTACACCTGTTGTCTCGCTCTTGATGAGGACTTTAACTTTGATTAAAACATTATGGCTCTTCTTATCTATGAGACAGGAAGCAGGAAACAGCCAAGGGACAATAATCAAACCTCCCTGAACCACCAGAGACCACAAGTTTTATCTTGTTTGTTTAATCTCTGCTCCAATAGATTAGAAAAGCAAAGTAAAACAAATGGCATGTGTTTGAACGAGGTCACAGCAGGAAAAGGTGGCTAACTTAGCTTTTAACCTTGGTTTACTGCTTTGAAGCTCATTTAAGATAATCAGCTTAAATTCAGCTTTTAGATGATCGTTTAGCTGAAAATGTAATTTACACTGAAGATAAGCAGACTCATAGCTTTATCCCTCAATAATTCCAGTTGAACTATTGAGCAATAAATAGATAAAATAATTTTGTTCTTTTTGTTGTTTTGTTTCTTAATTTTGAACATTTAAAATGTTTTTCAGCTCCAGTGTTAAAAGTTCATTACAATTTAATGTTCGTTGATATGTGAGAGGGCGAATTCACATTGTGCTGTTACCATAATATAACTTGAAAATTGTCTCAAAACAATGTTGTTGTTTATCACAATAACTTCGTCCAGCAAATTGTGTTATCATGACAAGCTAAACAAGAATTTACTTCCAAGCTCATTTTGTTTTACTTAAACTGTACTTAGATATTTGCACTCGAAACTACACAAAACAAAAACACGTTGTACGATTTTGTGTTTTTACATTTCCAATATTCAGTGTCCCATTGCAACACTTTAAATGTGATTTTCTTGTTTTCCTTGCAGGCTGTATGCTGTGTTTTGGACAGTCAGCCTTCTTCCGCTTCAACCACCCTGAGGAGGCCTTCAGGATGAAGAGCATGATGCCTCATGGAGGAGGTGTTCGCACCGGGAGCTACACGTTGAGTCCAGGTAACACGTCGTGTGCTTACGCTTCCCTGCAAAAGTATCTGCTCCAATCCGTTGAAATCTGTCACAAGTTGTTGCGTTACAGTCTCAAACTTCACTTACGTTTTTTTTTTCTTTCAATAAAAGTCACTGATATTTGGCATATATCCTGCTGCTTTTCTTCTTTTGTCCCTAAATAAAGCCCAGTTTAACTAACTAACTAACTAACTAACTAACTAACTAACTAACTAACTAACTAACTAACTAACTAACTAATCCCATCATGAGGCAATTTAACCTCAGTGTAAATACAGCTGTTTGGTTTCTGAGAGAACAAACTGCATCATGAACAGCAGACAGACAGACAGACAGACAGACAGACAGACAGACAGACAGACAGACAGACAGACAGACAGACAGACAGACAGACAGACAGACAGACAGACAGACAGACAGACAGACAGACAGACAGACAGACAGGTCAGGTTATTAAACAATGTCTCAAACAGACTTCTGTTCAGTCCATCACTTGGAAACTGAAAGAGGATGGAGAGCATAAATCAAAGAATCAGTCAAAAGAGACCTGATAGCTATAAAGGAGCTGCAGAGATCCACTGCTCAGGTGGGATATGACAGCTAGAGCTTGTCCACAAATCTGACTTTGATCCGATCAAATCTGGGAAAATCTGGCATTCAGGTCTTCTACCATTGGACAGGTTCTTGTAGATGACCAGTACTAAGATCTACAATTCAGTGCAACCCATTGCTTATTCTCCATGACGACTACTTTTATTTTATGTTTTCACTTTGTCATTTTACTTCTGATGTCTTCTTCTTAACTTGGGAGCCAAAGTTTTCCTGTTTCTACAAGCCGTGCACTGATTGCAGTTTTCTGGCCGGTCAATAATCTCTCTTGCTTTTTTCTTTTGCTAAAATTAGCAACATTTTTGGCCAGGAAAGTTGCTAAAGTTGACAAAGTAACTAAGACGGCAAAAGTGGAGTGTCTAGGGCGACTGTGGTTGTGTGGCAGAGTTGTCGTCTTGCAATCGGAAGGTTGTAGGTTCGATTCCAGCTTCCTCCTGCCATATGTCGATGTGCCTCTGGGCAAGGCACTTAACCCCAAATTGCCTACCGGTCTGCGTATCGGTGTATGAATGTGTGTGTGAATGGGTGAATGTGACTCTAGTATAAAGCGCTTTGAGTGGTCAAAATGACTGGAAAAGCGCTATATAAGTTCAGTCCATTTACCATCTATTGTTATAGTCAGTCCTGATGGGTATTTCTGTCAGTCAGTCGTCTCTCATGGCAGAACCAAAGAGAACAGTGGCTGATTACCGGATCGGTTTTACGTAAAAGTCTCGACCAATCACCAGCCTCCCAAAAAGAGGGAATTTGGGCTGATTTATTGTTACACCGCTCATTTCTATGTGTATGATGGCCATTTACTGCTAAGCTGAAGTGATCTGATTTCTGTTGGTGATTCCCAAGTCGCACAGCCTGCCTACATGAGGTTTCTCCATTCAGATGATAACATCTGGAGACCATTTGATTGACTGCAGCGAGTCGACTGTTTGCCAGCTGCAGTCCACACAGACTGGGCCCCCACTCTGTGGGTTCTTCCTGCATCTGTTTGACTGACAGCTGGCTGTAGTGTCACATGTTTCACACTTTTACTGTCACCACAGCCACACTGTGCTGCTCTCTGACATGCCTCAGTGGAGGACTATCAGGACTGTCCCCATCTGAGGACATTCCTGAATATAAATTTCTAATATTTGAAATAAAATGTAAGATAAATAATAAAGCATGCGTCGTGCAGAGCACAAAACGTAGAAGTACACTAGAAAGATCTGCCCTTATGTCATTGTTGCAGATCCAAAATTTTTTCAATATCAGCACTGAAATTGGTGCATCACTAATGCAAACTTATCAACAAGCTTCTACTATTCTATAAATTAGTTCTTGTTTTTTGCATGTTTATAACCTCTACCAACACTGGACGACTGTTCGACACTTTATAAATAAAGTTGTTGTTATTGTTATTATATTACCAATAACAACTTAAACAGGATTACCATCCTGTTTAAGCTGTGAATCCATCCCTCAAACGGTTCATTTTACAAATCCAAGGAAACTGCAGCAGGTTCTGTTCATTGTCTAGCTGTGCGACAGGCCACGATCTGTCAGCATTCAATCCGTGGAGCACAGTACCCGGTGAAACCCGGAGGGGGAGCCGTGCCCAGCTGGGACCTGGAGCTGCAGTTCACACCATGCATGTTTTATGAGCATCTCATTCCTCCGTGTCTCCGGGCAGAGAGAGTCTTCAGCTGCTTGCTGTGGGCTGAGTATGTGTTTGTGTTCTGAGTGCTCCTCTTGGCAGCTCTACAACTAGAAGCATACCTTCATCTTTAGCCTCTATGGTGGAACTGTCACCGCTGTTCCACCGCTGACGCTGCCGGCCACCGGGGGATAAGTATAGCGCGCGCACAGGCACGCTGCCGGCGGCACACTTCCTGGCCAGTAATGAAAGCCTTCCGTTGTTTAGAAACGTATCATTTATGCATTCCTGTGCTGCATCCAGATGAGGACTGCTTAAACCACTCTCGTGATAAACAGGGATTATCTGAAATGTCAGAAAGCAAAGAAATGAGCTCATATCTATGTCTGAGTTCAAGAAAGAAGACAATAAACCACAACTAAACCAAAAGATGATTTGTTTTGGCATCTTTCTGTCCAAATTAAGCACTACTGTAAAAACAAGTCAAGTTTCTGAAATTGTTTTATAATTGGGGATATTCAACATGTTAGATTGTCCTGGCCTGATATCGCAGTGTGTGTGGAGTTTCCAGAGGAGAAATCAGAACACATGCTGTTGAATCAGAAAACCCGGTGACAGAATCCAAAATACATAGAAGTCCAAGCAAGTGTTATGGTGGACCAGACAGTCCAGTGGACACTGGAGACATCTTTGTATTGTTTTCCCTTTATTGAACAAATCCTTTTTTAATTATAATTAAAAAGGATGTAGTTTCTTCATACAAATATGAATAAACTTCCTGTTTTGATAATTAATATCAGATCTCGTACTTCCAACATCACTCCCTTTTCCTGGTTCAAAGGGTTTTTCTTACCTTGTTAAAAAAAAACACTTGTAAATATAAGGGTAGAATGTAAACGGAAGGAAAATTCTTAAGAGCTTAGCAAAAGTCAGCCTCATTCAAGGACCTGAAGTTCTCTAACTACCTGAGAGACTGAATGGTGTCCTTTCTATTTATAGAGGATGGTCCAGAGTTTCTGAGCCAAAAAGAAAAAACAAAGAAAGCACTGATACTCCTCACAGCGCCATTTAAAGCACCCAAAGAGCTTCTGCCATGGGTGACACTTATGTACTTCCAGGTCATTTCATTCAGTGAGGAACTTTACTAAACAAGACAGTCTGTTTGTGAAAAGTTCCTATGAATGGGAATGTCCTTTTTCACCAGCCCGAAAGGCTGTGACGGTTCAATCTGAAATGCTGCACAGTTCTTTATGTTGAGATTGATTCTTGTTTTTAGAGCCAGCGCAGTCTGTCACTGAGAACTGTCTTTATTTATGAGTCTGAGTTTATTAGGGCTGTTGAACAAATTGCTTCAAGGAGAAGTGGAGTCTTCATCACATGCATAGAATCTGGAAAGGATTCAGACAACTTCAGCTTTTTCACATTTTGTTATGCCTAAATCCTTATTTTAAAATTAAGTAAGTCCATTTGACTCTCAAAATTTTATACACAATATCCCAGAACAGTAAGGTCATCCACAGAAGAGTTGCCAGACGAAACCAGAATACGCTTTGCAGTTTGTATGTGGTTGAAGGTTCCCTGGTTAGATGACTTACGTGCCATTTCTTTGAGACAGGTTCATGCAAACACATTCTGTCTCTGACATATCAGCAACTTGACTCTTGTTTGGTTCCATATCTAGAAGAGTTGTTAAAGCTGTGATTTTAGTCAGTGAAAAATATTTCCTGCTTTTGGTGTCTCTTACAGAGCAGCAGATAGCTTTGTGCACTGAAAGAGGCCTGTGGCTGGGATTACAGGCTCTTTTTTCACAGACTATTTATAATCTTCCAGCTCCAGTCAGTCTTTTTCCTCTTTGGTACTTGCCCCCAAACCCACCTATTGGCCCAGTATGTGTGCTTCTCTTTGTTTCTCTTCAGATGCTGTTTGAAGGTCAATCCCTGTGTAGGATAGACTAATTAAAGCTGTTTACAGTATGAACAAGTGTAGTGGATACAATTGACATCTAACATTAAAACTTGAATGATTTTAAAGGAATCATGTCTAAAATGTTTTATGAAGTATTTTTTTTTATCTCACTGAAAAATTTAGACAATTCCAACCTCAATTTGGAGTACATTTATTTTGTGGGAAATGATGTTGAAAATAATAGTTCTGAACATAATCTTGGTCTTGTACTGGAAAAAGGTGCAGTCTTTGGGAGAATTAGAGAAGCTTTGATATCTCTGGGTCTTATTTACGTGTGAGGGAAAAATGGAGCAGGAGAATGATAGGTGGAGTGGTGTGGTGTCTGCAGTGATGCCGGGCTGTTATGGAGAGAGAGCTGACTCAAAAGATGAAGCTCTCGATTAACCAACTCTTGGTAGTGACTGGAAGTATGGGATCATGGATGCAAGCGGTTGAAATGAGTTTTCTTTCGCAGGGTGTCTGGGCTCTCCCTTAGAGGTAGAGTGAAACGGTCAATCAGTTGAGCATCTGATTAGATTCCACCGCCCTCTCTTAGCTATATATTGAGGGTTCCTGATGCCACATATTCTAGCAAGTTTCCCAAAACCTTTTCAAGAGAAATATGCTCAAAGGATCACAGATCCTACACCATACATAACAGACAGGAGGTGCGTTCCACATGTCCGTCCAGACAAATCTGTCACTCCAGATCTATTGCCAGTTTTCAATACAGTACACCTAAAATAAATTTATAAGTACGACCTCAAACCACTTTTATTTGCAACACACACCTGTTTCAGACTGTAAGAAGTTACTCTAAGGCGTTTGTTAAAAGAGACAAAGAAATCATCATCAGGTACGTCACTCTTTCCTTCAGAAGTTGTAACAACACCAGCAGTGTAATCTATTGTATTAATAAAATTGCTATCTGTGAAGTACTATAAGGTACTGGAAGGTACCTTATAGTATAGGTACCTACAATACCTACTATTACATAGATCCAAATATACAGCACACAACTACATTTTCCTATGCGTTTCTAAAATGTCCTGAATGACACATTCCCACGTCAGAGAACTTGCAGATGTAGTTCAAAACAAAAACACCTTCATTTAAATCCTTCTTTACCAAAACAAAGACTTCAAATTAGCGTCCTAAATACGTTAGCAAACTTTACTTTTACATTTCAGGCAGCAAAGGCTTTTTTCTAGATAGCTTCTGAGAGTGGCTATGGAGACTGGGTGACCCTAAAGTGTTTCTCATTGTTCACAATGTTCTGAACAGTGAGCTCAGGAAGTCGGCGTCACGTCTTCTTCATTCTGGAGAATAATACGGAAATGAAAACTAATAATGTTTGAAATCTTGCATCAATTGAGGATAATGGATGAATTAGGGCTTCATGAGATAACAATATCATTTGGGTTAACCCACATTTTCCTGACTGTTTTTGTTCCTAAATCACAGTGACCACCTCACTCTCTCTAAGCATCAGCATCTGAAAATGTCCCTCCAGCCTGGGGATCAGGGACAATCTAACAGGCCTTCACTACCTCCACCGACAGCACATGAAACCTCATTTGCTGACTAATTATTGCATGCAAGTAGACCTTTCCATCTGCAGTATTGCACACATTAGATATATTGATGTATTATTTATTTAATATATCAGTGAATTTTTTTATGATGGTGCCACAAGGGATTTTGTTAATAAAAATTATTTCTATATGTGGAGTTTTCTTTGCTCATTGAAAAAAATTTATATAGCTTTAAGGTCTGATTTTCTAAATTTTTAGACTGAGATGCTATAGTAAGAAATCATTTTCCCCTCAAAGGGTTTCAGGGTTTTATTGGCAGCAAAGGAAGCTTTTGGTGGCCTTTTTTTTTCTTTGGGAAGCCAAAATAGAATAAAACTCTTGATCCAAAAGGAAAATGATCGTAATGATATCTCAGTTCACAATTACTCATTTCGTCTAAAAATCTGATTTTTGTTCTTTTCACACTATTTCTCTTCACTTGAGACACTGGAGTAAAAATTTACAGTAAAGAGTCGCAGCTCGTCCCTTGTTGCTCATGGATATAGAAAGTATTAGTAAAAGTTTAAGCACATGTAGTATTTTTAATGCTCTTCTGCTATGCTTCATAAAAAAAGCTGTCAAAGTTTTGTAATGGTAATAAGTAACATTGATCACGCATGACTGTCTCTGCCGTGAGTCTGTAAACTGGCAGCTGTTGAGTTAGCCACAACACGGGAAGTATAACGACCGCGTTTTCAAAATAAAAGTCCCACTTCGACGTCTGTTTGTTAATGACAACTGACCGGCCTCGGCTTTGAGCTTATGTTTCTGATCCATCTTGTGTTGTGAGTGCCAGTTTGACACGGGGAAACATGTCAACATTGCATTGACGTTTAAGACGGCAGCCTTTATTTTGAAGGTGAAAAATGGAAACTCGGTCGTATTTCGGATAGCCTGTCAGCACTCGGCGGCTGTGCTCGGCACCCCAACCGCTGCTTGAAATATCACCTCGGCAGTGAAGCGCTGGCTCTCTGTCGGTCTGTATGGAGCCTGGCGCGGCGGCACTCCGTCACTACCACTCCGGTACCGGCGTGTCCGCGGGATGTGGGCCCGCCCGGTGTGTCACGTAGCAGGTGAAGCGCTCTGGACCCCGGCTGGCAGTTCCTACCCCTTCATGTGAGTAAGTGTGCGGCCAGAACGCCTGAGATTTGAGCGACACCGGTCATGGGAATCCGCCTCAGACCGAACTCCATTAACAACTAGTCGGTTTAACATTTTGTGCTGGTTCTGGACGGTATATCAGTCCTAGCACTGAATGTAACAGTTCCATCGTTACATGTGAACAAGCCTATGTGTTCTGCTTCTACCTCAATAGGAAACGTCTTGGATTCATTGCATTCATCCTTTATCTCCATGACCCACAGACGGAGCTGATGTGGATTTTGTTGATGTTAAATGGCTTGTTTTTTCAGAGAAGTTTGGCCTTGCACTGTAATCAATGATCCGTACCCCATGACATCATTGGTCGGGTTTTTCTTGTCGCTTTAATTTCTTGTCACCCCGCCCCCTTTCCATCCTCCCTCCTCCTCCTCCTCTTCCTCCTCCTTGTGCGCTGCACACAAGCATCGCGTCGGTTTGTTGTCTGCAATAAACGACATGACAGTGACATTTAAACGGTCCCTGGTGGATCCAGATGGCTGGAATACAGTGAAGTGGCACTGACGTGTGCTCTGATCCGGCCTTGTACCCAGAGAGCAGGGCTCAGCTGAGCAAGCTCAACTAATGCATTATTCCTCAATCTTCTACATTTGTTTTGCTCATGGGACACGTCTGTGACATCATCAGCTTCAAGACACAAAAACAGACCTCAGTGCATATTTTTCTGCTGTGTCCTTTAATTGTGTTTGCATCTGTACACACAAAGAACACATACATTCATATTTATGTTTACAGAAGTTTAATCTGAAATTAATTTGACAACTTCTATGGCCGCAAAAAATAAAAGACAGCGGCAGTGTTCTTCAAAAGCTTAAATAGAGAGCTGAATGTCTCTGCCTTTCAGTTTACACTGAATCCATTAAAACCTGAGGGTCTTTTAGATCTTGCCGTAAAGTGCCTGACTAGCAATCACAAAGGAATAATCTGGGTGAAATAAGAGAATTATCTGGAAATGGTCCATTTTGTAAGAGTAGAATACCCCAGTTTCAAAACAGCAAAAAATATAAATTTTTGTGCTTGTCACATGGTGTGGGATGAACCACCTGCAGCTCAATGGTCAGGAAAGTTACAGTTGCATCTGAAACATGTGAATGATTTCCATCATTTGATGGGATAAGTAAGCCTGATTTTATGAAGATCAGCAGGTGTTACCTGAAACAATTTTTAATCAGTTATTTGGCTGGGTGAATCAAACATGACTTTGCTGGACTAAAACTTAAGTTAAGCTCCAACTAATGCAGTTAATTGGAATAGAAAAACGCACAATTAATATTGTGTGTAGTTTTATGTCATCATCTGAAAGCTGGCTATGGCAGCCTCTAATAGGAACATGCCTTGGTGATTCTCAGTTCAGCTCTTTTACTTTGCACATGTTTTTAGATCAGAAACAGAAACCACTAAATGTTTTCTTTTCTACAATGCAAAAAATGACAAAGTGAAAGCCCTTTATAAGTAATAGTACTGTGTATTTAGACAGAGGTTGTTTGATATAATTTCTTTGACTACCTCCATTTATCTTCTGAATATGACATCTGTATTTTCATTTTATTTGTCACAATTAGGGCTGCACTATATTAAAAATGCTGACAATATAAGTTGTAACATTTGCCCATTTTTGTTTTTCCTCACTTTCTAATCTGTGCCTCCATCTCTGTGACCTTTAGCATTTTGGCCAAGGCCATTCATGTGCAGCCTGAGCATCTGCTCCATGCTGACATTACAGAGTTGAGATTAGATTAGCCGGTCTGTATGCTGTGTTGCTTTCTTTTGCCTCTGACACCTGCCCAGTGTCACAGACCTGTCTTTCTGCTTATGTCCCCATATGTGTCTTTCTTCGTTTATTCACTTTTTTTTTTTTTTTTTACTTTCTGGTTGGAATGTATTTTGTGATCTAACTATCCCAATTACAAATTTTGCTGGATGATAAATTCTCCCAATAATTATTACAATAAATGATAATACTGTTGTTTTGAAACCATTTTTAAATAATCTAGTGATAATTACAGATTCCATAATCCATAAAACTTCAATTATGTAGAGAACCTTTAGCACTGGAAGAAGAAGAGATTTTAAATATCCAAAATAAAATACAACACAAACAATAAGTAAAATGGAAATAAAAAACACACAAATCATGAATAAAATAGATTATGTAAGCAAAATTACCCTTATCAGAATAGAAAATTATAAATTTCATTTTATCATGCTATTAATTGCTTATTGCAACAGGCTCAGGTCTTCGTCTTTTGTTACACTTGTTACACATGCATCACCATGAACAGAACATTAATAACGGTCTTCTCTTCCTTTCCTTTGTCTTCTCTCCCAATCAGACACTGAGAGTTTGGTCAATGGAAATCACCAGGCCAGTTCCTCCCAGTCTCCCTCAGCTCCTGGAGAAAGAGTCCAGTCTGAGCACAGCGCCATCGTCAGCTCCATTGAGAAGGACCTCCAGGAGATCATGGATTCCCTAGTCATGGATGACCTTGAGCCCTCCTCCTCTGATGCAAAAAAGCCCCCTGGGGGGCAGTCCATGCACCACTCCCCATTGTCGCCTATGGTCAATGGAGGGGGGAGGTATTTGTTGTCCCCTCCCACCAGCCCAGGTGCTATGTCTGTGGGGTCCAGCTATGAAAATGCCTCCCCTCCCTTCTCGCCCCTTTCCTCCCCCTCGCCTGCCAGCAGTGGGAGCTTCACCAGCCCATCGCCTGGCGGAGGACACCACGACCAGAGTTCTTTTCTGCCACCTGTGCCTATACGCTCTTCTAGCTACAACTTCAGCACCCAGCCTCCGCCTGTTCCCCTGCCAAGGACCATACTGCCTAATTTTAGCAGCACCGGGGTGGGCCAAAAGGTCCAGGAAAGCCCCAGGCTACAGAGGAAAGTGTTGACAGAGACCCCTCCGAGCCCCAAGCCCAGCCGCCGGGGACTCGACCAGGATGGCTCTGGGAGCCCTCGACATACTCCTCTTGTATCGTCTAGTGAGTCTCTCAGTGGTAAAAACATTGTGCCAAGTAGCCCCAGAGTCACCCCCAAATTTCCAAGCTGTTCATCGCCGTCTCCATCGCCTTCACCATCTAGTCCCAGAACCAAGACTGCCACAGTGCTCCAGGAAAGGCCGGCCAGTCCCTTCAGAGAGCAGACCATTTTAGCTGATGGATCCCAGAACTCCAACTCCTCCAGGCAGCTTTCACAGCCCAGTAAGGCTTTTCAGCCCCCCCTGGATCCCATCGTTCACGTCATCCAAGGATCTCCTCTCCCTCAGCATCCACGGTCGCTGCATCCCCCTGAAAGCCCCAGGTTGGCCCGAAGGAACTTGGAATTGAATGGTGGCAGCGCAGGGAGCAGCAGTATGAGAGAGCTGCCGCCTCTTAGTCCTTCACTGGCCCGGAGGGGGGTTCCGGTTCTTCCAGGGGCACTGCCTGGAACAATCTCTACGTCAAGGACGCCAGACAGCCCCTCATGTCTGGGCAGGCTGGTCCCAGAGAGTCCCAGGTTACGGCGCAAAACCGGATCCGCGTCAGAGGAGCCGTCTTGCAGCAGAGGGATCCGAGCTCGCAGTCCGTCCCCCACCTCCATGTTAATGGAGGGTAGCAGCGGAGTAGGGATACGTAAGGCAAGCTTCGGGAACTCTTTATCACCCGCTTTCAGTCTGGGCTCCCTACCTGTCTCATCCCCTGCAGCCAGCCCCAGGACCCAGAGGAAGATGTCCTTGGGGAGACCCCACCCAGGAATGCGAGAGAGGAAGAACAGCATCACAGAGATCAGCGACAACGAAGACGAGTTGCTGGAGTACCACCGCCGACAGCGAGAGGAGCGGCTCAGGGAGCAGGAGATGGAGAGGCTGGTGAGTTTCGATTTCACATCAACAAGTGGCTGTGGATCAGTGTTTACTGTAAAATGAGCATAGTGACATAAGAGTATCTTTGGAAAATCCTCCAGTTTTCCAACATGTGTTTGAATAAGACTGGTTCAGATGATTCAGGCACATTCTGCTACTGGTGTTTGCAGTTTGGCATCTTTGTGAAATATGTTTGCTTCTGTTTTAGATGGTATGTTGAAGAATTGAACTAGCCTTCCTGGTGACAGGAAAATACCATAGTGAAGGATATCACTAAGCATTAATACGGCAGAGTCTGGTACTCGCTGGGATAAGGGACGACAGCCACATGTGAATAATTGAAATTCACGAATACTTGAGATATTCTTTGAATAATACTTTTTAATAGTTGAAACACCAACTGTACCTTGGTGTTTCAACAGTCATTAACACGGACTGTGGAAATCATGCTTGTGAAAATCATCAGAGCCAAGGAAAATAAATCTTCCTGTTGGATTGGCTGCTTTGGGTAAATATAACTAGCAAGTGTCGTGCTTGCTTGTGGTCTTTTGCTAAAGACAAAAGAGACTATGTTATGTATTTCAGGCAAAACGCATAAAATATGTGCAACCCACGCTCAAATAAAGTACATAGAAGAATTACCAATACCTAGCAGAGTCTTAAAGAGACGTTACATTGTTTAGTTATTCCAATAAAATATGGGTTATTTCTCTGTTGAACATGTGAGATTTTGTTCCTTGATGTTGTTATTAAAGTCTGACATTTCCAAGTATTTACACGGTTTCCAAAATTGCATTGATTATTATGGTTCTTTGATGTAGTTTGATTTTGTCTTTCAGTGTAGCAAACATTTCCTGAAAAGAACTGAACTGATTTATCACTTGTTTTGCCATAAAATTTCCCTTTAAGCTCTCAGTGGCTGGAGATGATCTGGAGCTTCTTGCAGGTTGTTGTTTACGCTCTAATCTTGGCCATAATGAGCGCCGCGTCTCTGTTTGTGAAAGGAGGAGTGACCCAGCCCCATAAACCATGTCAGTGAGCTGTCTTGGCTGCTGTCTGTCTAAGCTGCTGCTGACACACAGTGTTGTGGAGTCCTTAGCAACCGCAGTGTTTTCGTCTCCTGAACCGGAGCGAGCCCAACGGGCCGAGGTGAGAATGGGTCCTGAACTTGTCTGAAGCGACGCACACAGAAGTCTGTTTCAGGCAGGTTTTCTATGTGTTGCTGCCTGTCTGTAATTGGAGGGTAGCCGAGACGGCTGAGCTGCTCGGAGCCTGGGTCTGAGCCGGGTCGAGTTCTGGTGCTTCCTCTGGAGACGTGGCAGTGTGCTGATAGGACCGAACATTACTCTCACACTCTGACCATGTTTAACTCTTTTAACGTTTCGTCTCGTTTAGCTTTGACTTTCCTCCTGGTTGTAGAAACCTAAAGAGAAAATAGTCCAAGGTGTTTTCATGTCTTTGATTATCTGTGAGTGTAATAATAAACGTTTGGGTTGGATATACACCGCTTCATAATCTGCCTTTGATGAAGACAGAGATTTGAGTACTGGTACGTTCTGTTTTCTAAATGACAATTTAACTATATTTCTAAAGTTTTAAGCAAGTCTCATTAGTTTGAGGTGGAATTTCAGTACATTTTCAGACACAAAAGTTCAAAATACAAGAGCTAAACCAGTAAATTGGCCCTGATTTCCTAAATTCTTTCGAGATCAGCAATTTGCCGATAACTTAAATGAGATACCAATCTTCTCTACACCTGCAAGGGACTGAAAATCAGCCACTGTCCCTTCTGCGCTGCCTGAGACAGACCTGACTGACTCAGGTCATGTTTACAGCGTGTTTCCAACTTAGTAACTTTGACAATGTACCACAGGGGCAGTGTTATGTGTTTTCCGGTCAAATCGTGCCATTTTACACCATAATCAAGTAACTATGTTACCTTTAGTCGTTATAATAACAAATATGACTTAAAATACATTCATTTGATTTTTTAATGTAATGCCTGGACATTAGGCTTCTGTCTAGTGGCAGCTGAGGCAGCTGCTGCAGTGTAGCTTTTAGCTCACTGCAACAGTATCCAGCCTCACTGAATTTTCCATAGTTTGTCATATTGCAACCACAATCTTCAATGTATCTTGCATCTATGTTTAACTGCAGTCCGACCTTTGATTAGGCCACTTTAACAGATGACTATGTATTAATCTAAAGTGTCCCATAGTACCTCTGGCTGTAGGGTTGTTGAACGTCTGCTCCAGCCTCAGGCTTCCTTTAACCTCTAGTAGATTCTCTCTGAGGTACGTCCAGGGTCAGCAACATGTCAGACTCACACTTTTTGCCCTCGTAACATTTATCTGTAACCAAGTTAATTGAAATTTAAAACTATATATTTGTTACTCCTTTTTTGTTCTGTTGTAGAAATTCGATGTAGATCTTGTGTTTAAAAATACAGAAAAACTGCACAATCTTTTTCATTACCATCCTGAATTATCAACGGTGTAAAAAGCAGTTTTTGTGGTGTTAAGACCAGAGATGCTCGGTGAGTGTCGTGACCAACACTGACTCCTCTGGAATCACAAGTATATAAAACCCAAACTTGACCAAAATAGAAACAATTAGTTGTTTTAAAAGGTTTTAATTATCCGTTAATCAATTCTGTGCTGTTCAACAAGATGATATGAAGTTAAAAAAAAATAAAAAATAAAAAATAAAGTCAAAGTTGGTTTTGGAAAGTTAACATTTTTCTAGGCCGATCTCTGTTTCTGAATTGAAAGTTGCGTATGACATTACCTTTATTTGTGTATGAAATTCATATTCCTGTCCATCTCCAAGGATACCGCTGTCTGTCTGTCTATTTGTGCTTTTTTGCATTTATCTTTTGAAGTTTTTCTTTTTCAATGCAGCTGATTGCCAAGGAGAGCAATCCTGTATCACTTCTATTCCTGATGTGGACTTTCAGCCTCTTCAATGCGTAGAACTAGCAGAAGTTGCCCATTGTGGGTCTGCAGCTCAGCAGTGCCCCCTATCATCCAGGCATGGTACTTCCTGCCTCACCCTGTGTGTTTCCACGGCACATTTATGAGGCACAACTCATCACTGCCTCTCCTCACCCGTCTTCCATGTATTTGAACAAAAAGTGTGTAAAATTTAGCAAGTTAGAATTTTTTGAAAAAGTTAAAATGATACAGAAAACAAGTTGGAAGAACAGTCAAGTGGATTTTTTCTCGTCATTGTCAGTATTTTAGTTGTCATGGTGACATAATATAGAGTTAATAGAGGAGTCGTGTTGTGATGACATCTTGAAGGTGGCGTTTCAGAAAGAGCTGGAGTAAAAGAGTCAGAAGCCCAGGTTCAAGGCGCTAAACCATCCATCATCTGGTTACGCGTATCCCCTACGGGGTAACGAGGAGTCCTGGTGCCCATCATCAGCGGGCGAGAAGCCGGGTCACCCTGGACAGGTCGCCAGTCCATTGCAGGACAACACAGAGACAGACAGGACATGATGTCATTTAGTCAGAATGTGACTAGCGACATCTTAATGAACTAATATGTCTAATCATACACTAATGTCACATATCTGGAATGTAATGTGTGGTGAAGCTGATTTTATGTTAAAACAGTGAGTCTGCCGTAGTCTGGCAGACTCACTCAGCCTACATCATCTGGGGCAAAGTCAGCCATCGCTCACGTCCACCGTGAATGACATCATCCTTCCTGTGAGGTCATTGAAGGGGAACTTTTCAGTTATTGCCTCAGACCAATAATGGACGGGGTTGGGGGAGGAGGATGAAGCTGTTAGGATGAAAAGTTGGACCCAGAATAGCAAAGGACAGAGATAGTGCTTTGTCATTTACTATTTTGAGCCAGGCTGACTGCAGAGTGAGTTATGATGCCTTTGTAAAGTGACAGGGTGGAGGGGGGCAGTCCTCTGCAATGCATTGTGGTTAATGGAGGAGGATGTCCAGCTGGTCTCTCTGCTCTCAGGTTTGTTGTCCTCTCTTGTAGCTTTTATTTTGACAGGATGCCAGAAATGTTGATGAGTTTCCTGCATGGTTGGCATCTTTGTGACCCTCCTGCAGGATCAGCCAACTAAATATACATCCAAGCCAGATAAATGGAGCCCAGCAAACATATACCAGCATCTCCCAGGAGGACTAAATATATCCACCTGCTGAGCTGCACACAACCTGCAGCTTCATCTGCATCATGGTTATTAATTAGTCTTCTGTTTGTCTACTTCAGGTAGTTTTCTATCACAAAAATCTTAGTTTGTGATTATGTATACATTGTTTGGAATATTTAACAGGAGATACCGTTTTCAAAAAAATATTCAGTTATTGTTGAACAAGAGCTGAGTATGGTGTTTTATTCCAACTTTTGTTGTTGCCATTTTGCAGAACGGTGTAAATTACCGAGAGCTGACGTGGACTACTTTTGTGTGTGTGTGTGTGTGGTGGGGGGGGGAATCTACATAAAAAGTGAATTAAACATTCATAAACATGAAAATGAAGGATATTATGTCTATAATTTCAATATGTTTTCATTTTATAGACTCACAATGTAATTCCAATTAGTTATAGTTTTTCCTCATTAATTACGGTTTTTAACACAAATGTTTTCTCAGTTTCAGTTTTTTAGTTAACTATAAAAATTATTTAGTCAGTTTTAGTTAACTGTCGTATCCTTGGTCTGCGGCTCGGCAGCACCTCTGCTGCCAGCCTCAGGCCTGGACGTCTCTGTTTGGTGGCAGGAAAAAGGACAAAACAAATTATCTGATCTGAAATAAACCGGTGAAAAACAAACGAGGAGAGACATCCTGTGACACTAGACGGCCGGCCGGGTGGCTCCTTATCTGGGGCAGCAATAAATCTGTTTGTGGTCCAAAGTAAAGCTGCAGTAATCCGGTGTTGAGACAAATCCAACAAATATGCCATGTGCGTTCATCCTCATCACACAACAAAAGCCAAATTAGGATGAGAACTGTCCTCCTTTCAACTTCTCTGCAAACT